ACTTGATGTGAGACAGTTTGCACTATTTCATATGTTTCGGACGTTTTTAGCATACTGCCAGAGGAGTATTTTATTGCCCTCACAAGTATTGGAAGTCTATTTTCTGTCACTATACAATGTATTGATGTCTGCAATATTTTGTAACAATAAACAGAGTATTTGAAAATCTCTTTTCCCATTTGTGTCCATTAACATCCTGCCCTGTAAATACAATAAAAGTCGAGAGTCCTTTTCAAAATATGCTGCCCAGATCCATAACCTCCAAGTGGTCTGAGACCTCACCCCTATTATATTATATTTCTTCCAAAAAAACCACATATAGTAGTGATGGGGCTTTAAGAAGCGTCAGACTTGCATTACAATTTTAAACAAATTTATTTATAATTAAAATTCCATAAATACATTAAAATCCTAATTGTAATGACAACTATTTCCCTGATTCTTGCATGATTTAGACATATAACATATTGTACATGATAACAGTTATTCATACATGTCGTCCAGATTAAATTTATGTATTCTTTCCATAAAAATTGATGCAATGATCAATGAACTTAAAACGCGTTTCGCACGTATGCTTCTTCAGGGAATTTTATAGCAAGAATCCAAGGATCAGAGATTAACTGTAAAACTATTTCCAAGACAGGAGGATGGAAGTCCAACTTCTCTCAAAATCAATGTGGCGAAACCATAAGTGCACATATAGCAGAGTGTCTTAAAGATCCAGTGCTCGGCCACTTTCCCCTCCTTCTGTTCTTTCATATAGTTCTGCTGCTGCCACGCAAAAAAAATAAAGATAAATAAAAGATTCAAGAGAATAAGACCAAATCTTTTGAAATGAAGGAATTGCCCTCATAGACAACTGTCACTGAAAAAAACGTACCCATTGGAAGAATGTTGCTCTTCCTGTTCTGGTGAAACCTCAAAAGTTTGCATTTTTCTTCACTTTCAGACAGAGCACGTACATCTTGCTTATAGGTAGAAACACGACAAGAAAAATCCTGCAGAAATTCTCACCACTGAAAAAAAAAATTGATGCACTTTAAAGCTGAACACCAGACAAGTAGGTAAATACACAGATGTAATGCCAAAGGACCTGCCAAAGGATTTGTATTTCTGTCCATCCAACACCAAGATTTACACAACTCTGTAACATAGAACAGCCCTGATATTCTTGTTTGCTGCAGTTTACACTTAGAGGTCTTGACTTTCCCCAGCCTGTGACTGGACAGTGAATGGAGAAGCAGCAGACTGATGAACTCATCTCTCTGTAACTCTAATCTGTCCTATAAACCTGTTCCTTGGTAGCACATGAGCACTGCAGCACAACTGTCTCCTTGGGTTGCCTCTTCGTCTCCCAGTCTGCGCTTAGCTGTACAGAGGCTGATTCAGGTACTACACTACTTGCATCTAAAAATAGATTTAGTCAAATATTAAAATAGAGCTGTAGTAATGAGAGCATTTTATTTCTACCTGGAGATTGGTTTTAAGGTTACCTCCAGATTCTTAAGTAGCTCCTAAAAGTACAATAATGGACTTCCCATCTCTATATTCCCTACCTCTGTAAAACCCACTGCATGCCATATTTTCCAAAATCCTGCTGAATGCATCAACTGACACATGTGAAGAGACCGGAATGAAAGCAATAATTCCATGGAGAGCACTCTAATGTATATGGGGTCTGAGATTAATGTGAACTGACAGATTAATATTCATGAATAGCAGGAAATGCTTCCACAGGAAATTACTGGGACCTAGAAGAGAAGACGAAGGCGCACTTTCCTGAGAATGCTAAGACGGAACACAATGAAGGATTTGGTCATATTTGTTAGCAGTGGAAAGTGGAAACAAAACTAGATTTTCCTCTCTATTAACAGACTTTCAATATGAATCTATTGGTACATGTATCAGTGTAGCTTTCTCTGTAGTCTGAGGAATTCAAAGGTATAAATGATGTCAAATGACCACAACGGTTTCTTCTAGACCCTGTCCTGTTCTTTCCAGACCCACCGTTCAGAAACCTGAAAAATTGAACATTTTTAGAATTGCTTTTAAAATGATGAAGCATTAACTTTGTATTTGTAATATTTTCGATGCATTCCGGTTAGTAATGAGTCTCAATCAATCTTATTTAATATGAATGCATTTCATATAACTCTTGAAATTAAATGCATGCTTTGATATCTAACACTTAAACTAAGGCTGCATTCACATTTTCATGCGTTCTGGGATTCCTGCATCAAGAACCTACAGATTCTTGTGGCAGGAACCCTAGGTGTCCCTGTTCAGATACAGATCTTATACACATTGAAGTTAATGACAGGGTGACACATGCAGGATAGATGATTGTCCCTGTATGGTGGATAAATGCATCCAGGGACAATCATCTATCCCAAACCGCATGTAATCGCACTGTGTATCTGAATGGGGACACCTGGGGTTCCTGCCGCAAGAATCCATAAACGCAGCATAAGTCCCTGTGTGAAAACGGCCTACACCTGTAATGAGACTATTTATGGTAAGCTTTCCCCATAATATCATCCAAATTCTGGAAGGTAGTGCCCGCTATTCCAAATGATGCTGCAGTACATCGCAGGAGCTCCCTGAACTGTAGATGCAAGCACTGACCATGTGATGGTTGGAGCATAAGGCTCCATTCACACATAACGGTTTCACCTGCGTTTTTCATTTGAAAAGCTATGCAAACGGTAACATACGAGCAAATTCCGCACGTTTGCGGCTATTGCTATAGCCGGAACACACGGAATCCACCCATAAAATCACGCTTGGACTATTTTGCGGGATGCGAGGTTTCGTACCGTGCGGCCGCCGCAATAGTCTGAACTATGCACATTGCCATGCGGTTTTTGTT